AAATATATAGTCCTGTTTATTATTTGTGATAAAGTGTGTGTAATGTAATTAAGCTTCACAAATATGAACAAATATTAAGTACACATTACCAGAGGTCAACCATTCTATATATTATTTATTTCATATTATATTCTCAAAGTATTAAATAAAATACAATTAATTATATCCACCAGTATAAATATAGTGAAGATTTTAGAAATATGATTCTAAAGAACCGTTTCGTCTGACGTCACAAGTCCAGCAATGACTGCCACCTCCTAGAGAACCAGCGAAACGCAAATCAACCTTGATGCATTCCATACCAAGTTTCTCGAAAAGTCTTTGAGTAGGAATCTCGTTTGCATCTACAACCACCCGGTTATGGTCCAACATCAGAACATTCATTGACAGCCATGTTGAAGAAAACCACATCGGGTGATCTGTAAAAGGTGCACAGTAGAAAGTCTTATAGAAATATAATTGTATAAATTACACTGAAATTTGTGTTCGTTTTATTGACTGAAACAGATAATGATGACGCTGACACTGTAGGCCTACTGTACTGACAATAGAAAATATTATGATAATTTAGCAATGACGTTCACTGCAACAAGGATGGCAACGAAACAACAGCAAAAGACACAGCACAGTCAAATCAAAATCACAGTGACAATCACAGCCACTGTCATAACCACAACAACATAATAATACAACATCATAATACAATCATAATATCACTTCTTCTCAAGTTTCTTCTTCAAATTCTCAAAATCATTATGAAAGTTACAAGAGCAATTTGATTTGATTTTGAATTTATTCAGCAATCAGAGTAAAATACAAAAACAATGAAGACAAGACAAGGAAAAGCAAATACAATTAAAAACTCTGAAAACAAGGAATAGCCCAAAAAGGTTTCAAAGAAACGTATTTCCATTGGAATCCTGCAAACGAAACATTCAATTGCTAAAAGGAAGAACAGCAATAATTTTTTTTTAAAAAGGACACTTTGTTAAAATTGAAAAAGGATTATTTACAATTTGAAAGTAAGACAAGATAAAAAGATCAACAATAATAACAATATGACTGGCTTCTAAAAGTCTTTCCAAGGCATATTCTGATATAATTCATCATTATATTCATTTGATATATCTTTTAATATACCGCTTGGTGTTATTGGATGAGGTGCCTCAACGACATCCCACCCAGCCTTTGAGAACAGCTCTATCTGATAGCAAGGTCTTTCTGGGTTGACTAAAACCAGACCAGGTCTCAATAAGCACAGGGACGCATCTATATGCATCGGAGCATCATAGCATTCGGTTTGTTGTCTGAGATTGTAAATAACAAGATTGGTATCCTCAGTAAAACGTTTTATTGAAAAGTGATTATTATAGACCTATAACAGTAAAACAATATAGAACTCACGTGACTTAACTGGCAAAAATGTCCTTTCCAGCACATTGAAAATCAGCAGCATCAAAGCAAGGTTCAAATTCTGTCGTCACAAATTGACCTCTAACTGGTAATTCTAGTCTCTCATGGGATCCAATATAACCCTATAAAAGGTTTAATAATTAAATATTACAATTCATAACCGAGTTCACACTCTGACCAAGATTACTGTACCATTGATTTACGCTAGTTAGTTGTTGTGTTGGACTTGCATCAATATATTTTGCAAAAAGAATATTAAACTATAATGACACAATCCACTTTTTAAAAATTTATATATTTATTTACACTCTCATTCTACAGCGGGAAACCCGCCACTTACAGAATGGATTAAAATATTAA